CTTGGATTTGGAGTGGAAGTTTGGAGCACTGAACGTGTGCTGGGCCTGAGTGGGGACTGGGAGAAAAAAGGAAGATTTTGCAGCTCTTGCCCTTCTTGAACACCTGGGAAGGTGAACTTGGATAATTTCCAAGATCTCTGGCCAAACGTAGTGCAATTCCGAGGGTCTCTGGGTGGGGCATGAGGTCAGATGCGGACCAGAGCAGGCCAGGCCTGGTGCCAAAGCAGGCTTGAGAGGTCCTGCCCCGGGATGGGATGGAACTGAGAACTGGACCTTAGAGAATCACACCCTCCTAATACACACAGAGGAAACTGGGGGTGGGTGGGTTAGTGGGGGTTCTGCATGTGGGGGCCAAGAGAGCATCAGTGGCCAAGAGGCCATCAGCCCCACTCTGCTCACCCAGCCCTGCCCCCTGATGCCCAGTGCATGAGCCTGGAGAATGGGCTATCGCTCTGAAATTTGTCCTCCAGAAAGAGGCATCTTTCTGGAATTCTCACAAAGACACCTACTATGTGCTAAGGCCAGCCCGTCTGTGAGATCAGGAGTTGGGCTGTCCCCACTGACCCAGGCCTGTTGCAGGAGGGCTGGCAGCGCTGATGTACACAGATACCGTACAGACTTTCGTCATTCTCGGGGGGGCCTTCATCCTCATGGGTTATGGTATGTGGCTCAGCCCATGGGGGAGGGGCGTGGCAGGCTGCAGAACTCTTAACCCGAGAGCAGGGACATTGCCTGTCTCTGGCATGTGGGTCCTAAGGAGGGCCTTGGCATTGGTGTCTGCTACCCTGACGGCCTTACCCACCCAGCCTTCCACGAGGTGGGCGGGTATTCGGGGCTCTTCGACAAATACCTGGGGGCAATGACTTCGCTGACGGTGTCCGAGGATCCTGCCGTGGGCAACATCTCCAGCTCCTGCTATCGACCCCGGCCCGACTCCTACCACCTGCTCCGGGACCCTGTGACAGGGGATCTGCCGTGGCCCGCACTGCTCCTGGGGCTTACAATCGTCTCTGGCTGGTACTGGTGCAGCGACCAGGTGCGGGGTCAGGTCCGCACCGAGGCTGGGGCGGTGACAGAACCACTGTGGGTGGAACTAGGTCGAAGGCGTGGTCTGAGGGGGCGGGAACCCGGCCGGGTGGACCTAAGCCAGTCAGATCAGCTGGAGTCCGATCCAAGTGTCAAGGTCTGAGAATGGATCCGGACTAGCTGCACAGGGGCAAGGCACAAATTAGAGCGGCAATGGGGGAGGCGGGTCGAGGCCAGGCCCGAGGGGGCGGCGTACGAGGACAGTACTCAGGTGACTGAATGCCCCCGGTCGCAGGTCATCGTGCAGCGCTGCCTAGCTGGGAAGAGCCTGACCCACATTAAGGCGGGCTGCATCTTGTGCGGTTACCTGAAGCTAATGCCCATGTTCCTCATGGTCATGCCGGGCATGATCAGCCGCATTCTTTACCCGGGTAATGTCTACATCGCTGCCTAGCCCGAGTGTCCTGTACCCTGTCCAGCCCCTTTCTTGTGCAAGATCCAGGTGCCTGTCTCCCATTTCCGTTACCTTCCTAAGACCTGGGAATCCGGTCGCCCAGCCCTGCCTCCCTCCAGGGGTCCCATCTCCCCTCTGCTAGGATTCCCAGTCCGTACTTCAGAGATCCTAGTTCCCAGACCAAGCCCCGTCCCAGCCGCGCCGTGGTCCCTTTCTCGCAGACGAAGTGGCGTGCGTGGTGCCTGAAGTGTGTAAACGCGTGTGCGGCACTGAGGTGGGCTGCTCCAACATCGCCTACCCGCGGCTCGTCGTGAAGCTCATGCCCAATGGTGAGGGCGGGCACTCGGCTTGACCCCTGCCCACCGGCTCAGGGACGCTGCGGAGACTGCCGCCGGGAGGGGTCGCCCCTCGCCAAGCCGGCACCTGCCCGGGACGCGCAGGCCTCACGGCTCCCGTCGGCCCGCAGGT